GTGGGAAAGGCCAGAAGCCAAACAAGGCACAGGGGCTGAGTACAGACCATATTCAGATATTATGGCAAAAACAACAACTTGGCAACAATTATCCTCAAGTCCTTCTGCGTACAGTTTGGTTTCACAACACTGTTTACTTGGGTTGGAGAGCACAAGATGAGCACCATCGTGTAAGATACGGCGACTTTGAAGTCAAAACAGATGGAGAAAGAGAGTACGTGGAATGGATTAAGGAACGCGGAAGCAAAACTAGAACAGGCGAAAATGAGTTCGTCCCGAATCGTCCGTTCAATCCTAAGATGTTTGCAACTGGTGGACCTCGTTGTCCAGTGAAATTATTCAAGGAGTACATTTCTCATGTACCACCAGAAATGAAAAAATCAGAATCTCCTTTCTACTTGGCAGCCATTCAAAAACCATCATCAGAGATATGGTACAAGAGACAACCACTTGGAAAGCACTCGCTGGCACAGTTCATGAAAGAATGTGCAAAGCCGCCGGTATTGAAGGCCGTTTTACCAACCACTCGGCACGAAGAACCATGATTTCAACGCTACGAAAAGAAAACGTAGAGCCTCTGAATATAATCGCCCTGGCTGGCCAGAGAAACCTAAAGTCTTTGGATAGTTATTCAGAAGCGTCAACAGAGCAACAGCACGTTATGTCTTCCAAATTAAGTGAGCACATCGAAGGAAGAAAACTAACGAAAGATTCGGCCTTGAGTCCTAAAGTACCGCTTYAACTTTCCAGTACTCTGACATCCAATCCATTTGGGCCTGCAGAACAGCCAGAATCCAATCAAAGCATGTTTTATGGAGCTGTTTTCAATAACTGTTCTATCAACTTTGGTAGAGATCATCATGCTTTGGCGGTTGAACCATCCCCCAGTTTTAAGAAGAAATTCAAGAGAATTGATCCATTAAACAGCGACGATGAGCCATAAGAACTATTGAACTCACTAAGCTTTTTGTTTTTTGCTGGAATTCGTCTTCATGATTCTAACTTTTCAAAACTTTTGATTGTTAGTAAACTTATTTTGAATCGATGCGAAATGTGATTTTACGAAGATCATATCTAGTTTGACGAGTTTCATGTCAGTTGTCATGTAATTTGCCTATTGACCAATAAGATTAAAGGCACTTAATGGGTTTCCTTGTGTTTACGTTTTTTCTGAGATAGCGTGCGGACATTGAAAGCTCAAAAAATACTGATAAACTCGCTCAAAAAGGGACAAATACATATCAATTTTCAATGTCGTATAATAAATAACTTATTTGGGTTTTTCCCGTAATACGGGCTGATATTTTACTCATTACTCGTATTTTTCCTCGTCCCTACGGGACTCGGAAAAATACATTCGCAACTCGTAAAATATCAGCCCGTATTACGAGAAAAAACCCAAATAAGATATAATTACTTCTCTTTTAAGGTTCACAGCCGGGCGTACCATGTGGGATGTGGTCTTGTTAGCATTGGCTGTCAACCCTCACAGAATACTTACATAGGAATATATGCACCAAACTGTGTTGAGGTATGATAAAGTCTCTCTCAGCTGTATGAGTAGCTCTACGCTATTATAAACCATGTATCGATGAAATAGTACAAAAACTAAATAGCGCTATCAATTGTTTCATACATTGGTGCTATTTTGTACTAACAAGTAAGGACTAGCTATTTCTCGGATATACGGTTAGCACTCTATAGTGGTTTTGCAAAATCACGTGACGGCAGCCATGTTAGATGCCAGGAACAATACAATCGTTTTACATGAGAAATAATTCAATCCCAAGTGGAAAGGGATTTTATAAGTTCTGTCATATAACAACAGGCAGCCCAAGCTGTAGTATGAGCGTTGGCAAGTGCAAAACCTCTGTAATGTGTTATTGCTTTGCTTTGTTTTAGTGGGTTTTGACGGATTTAGGTTGTCAGATGTTCTCTATGATCAGTGTTCCTCTGTTTGCAACACATGGCCCCGATGCGTGTCGTCACATCATCAAAGAAGGTTATTTCACTCTCTTGTTATTATTATCAGTATAAAGTCTGTCATCTTTCTTATTCAGTATATAGCGTATATATTATCACTATTGTTATTATTATTATTATTGTTATTATTATTATTATTACTCAGTTGTACAGTCACCTTATCTAGATCGATTTCTTTATTCTAGCCAACCTTCAGACAGTCATTTGCCACGAGTCCAAAGTGGAATTCGTTCTTCGTTCTAGGGATGAAATCAGCGTTGTTCGAAGGATCGTAAAAATAGGAAGTGACATCACGCAGCATGAAAAATCCTTAGCGGAGAAATGGAACATCAAGTTGATTGCTTTTAAACAACTCCAGGTTTTGCCTCTTAATTTGTTCATTGATTATATTTTACATGATTATTGGTTATTGATTAATGGTTATTGATCGTTAGTCATCGATTCGTCCTGAGGGATTTCACGTGATCGTTTTGCTCAATTTTGAACGCAGAGGACCCTGGATGGGTTAAACAGGAAGTGAGATTTATATTTTTCTATGAGCACAATAAATTGAATGGGATTTCTCCAAGGTTCATCCCTTGGACTGGGATAGGCCACTGGGATTTGGAAATACAAGTAACACGGGATTCCCCCAAGGTTTATCACTTGGACCGCGCGACTTCTTCACCTGTTGGCATAACTATCAGTGACCGTAATTTCTTTATTTTGTCTTGTGAAATGAACAGGACATAGGGAAAACTACTCCTCTGGAACGTAATGTAAGTACGACTTTGCCATCAATTACTTTTTTCGGCACCCTCAGTCATAACTAGTAACCACTGGTCATCGTGAGTGCAGTGCAGCGCGCAGCATGAATATCTCGTGAATGATATCTCAAAACCATCGATAGTTATAAAGCGCGCGGTTGAAATGTGTCAAATGTATCTACGCATAATCCTTGTTGATCTCAGCTGTGTAGACGTTTTTTAGGTGGCTAACTTGATTTGTGAATACATTCATGTGAGGCTTTGATACAAGACGACCATTAGAGTGAAAATGGGGGCCCTTTTTTTAATGGGACATGGGGGCCTTGAAAGGTCAAAAGGAGGATTAGGAGGATTTTTTAAACGATTAAAGGGGGGTACTATTAGGGGGTGCTATTAGGTTAGGGCCTGGAAAAGTTTTTGAATCAAAAACATTTTCTCCTCAACCTCCCCTCCCCCTCCCCCCCCCCCCTGACTTAAATAATGATTGGTCCCTTAGCACGAACACAAAATAGCACTAAACACATCTATTTCTTTTGTTTTCAATTGTTTCATTGGTGCTATTTCGTACTAATTAGTTTTAGTACTATTTCACGGATATATAGTTTGCACTCTACTATGAACTAGACTTTTCCATGATGATGTAGGTACCCAAAACAGACGATGTTTTAACTGTATGTTACACGAGTGGAACAACGGGTAAGTCTCTAACGAGTATATACCATGCTCCTTATTCGTAATTTATAACTTATTCAAAGGTTTAGTAAAAGACTGGGTCGAGTTGACATTGCAGTGCATTATGGGAAGTTAAGGGGATAATTCACGCTTTCTTAGCAATATGTCCCCCAAAAAGATCCACAATGCATTGCAATACCAACTCGGTCCAGACTAATGCACCCTTCTTAAAATTATTTGGTATGCGAGGCTAACATGGAAATACAAAAGAAATACCACAAATTCCATCGAGAAAAAGTGTGATTTCTTTTATATTTCCATGTTAGCCTCGCGTCCACGATACTTTTAAGAAAGGCGGTCCATCGTGGCCCATTATACTTGTTTTTATTTTCAACACAGGAACCCCAAAAGGAGCAATGTTAACTCATGATAACGTCATATCAGATTTAGCTGGCTTCAAATTTCTGTTGAAACAAGTAAGAAAAAAAGCTTCCTTTAGCCTGACTGATTCCTGCGTGGTCAAGACATTAATTGCTGGATGGAAGGAGAGACGGAAACTGAGGTGGGAAGGAAAGAAGGCGGAAAGGAAAGAAAAAAGAAATAAATGGAGAGAGGAATGGAAGAAAAAAGGAAGTGAGGAGGGAGCTAAAGGAAGAGAGAGAAAATAGAAGGGAGGAAGGAAGAGAGGGAGGATGAAAGGGAACAGAAAAAGGAAGGAAGAGGATGGAAGGGAGGAAGGAAGAGAGGGAGGATGAAAGGGGACAGAAAAAGGAAGGAAGAGGACGGAAGGGAGGAAGGAAGAGAGGGAGGAACAAGATCTTCAATTAAATGTATTTTTATATATTTTTAATTCTTACAGTTCGACAAGGAGGTGACCAAAGATGATGTGTTGTTATCCTTCATGCCCCTTGCCCACATGTATGAACGAATGAACCAGGTACAACAAATACCGATCCACTGACATTCTATATATATATTATCATTTTAAAACTAGATCACCTTCTGATTGACTGGGAAGGCCCATACTTTATGGAGGGCCACGAGTTTAGGAGATTTGTAGCTATTTCGTGCTACCCTCTTTTAAGGATTGGGCATTGATCAGCTTGCCTTCTCCAAGATTTTGGTCGCACGGGAGGTTGGAAGGCACGAAGGAAGCGCAAGAGTCGCACTGGGCGCAGTGTTGATAATGGCTTTTATGAGTCAGGATTTGTGTTAAAATTACTATACTGCAAGGAATGAACGCTTAAACATGAGCCAAGCACATTGTACAACATTATGATTATCCAATAAGGATATAATGAGACAATACACGACATGGCACTGTACAACACAGTTAGGATGCCGTGCAGTGAAAAACATTCTCGTTATCATTATACTTTATCTGGTTTTTTATTTCATTTTTGTTATTGACACTTTTGACACTTGATATTTTTTCTTAACAAAAGGTTAATATACTTTCAATACATCTTTTTATAGGTGATCTTGATGATGAGCGGAGGTCGCATAGGGTTCTTCAGCGGTGATCCAAAGCGCCTCCTCGATGATCTTAAAGAACTCAAGTGTGTACATTGTAAAAGACATCTTTATCTTGGGCGTAATGTTTTTCCATTTCAGATCACGCGTCGTTCTCTTGAGAATAAGATTCTTTGTTTGAGTCGTATATTCATGTGTCTTCTTATCCGCAACCGTTAAATAAAGAAATGATACTCTAGGGAATGACACGKGGTCTGAAATGGGAAAACGTTACACCAAAGCTAAAAATATCTATTGGAAGTCGTCTTTTCTTAAATATTTCGATTATCTTTGATATTTTTGGAGTATTCATCCATTAAAAAACATCTACATTTTTACCTTCAGACCGACTGTTTTTCCCGCTGTTCCTCGTCTTCTCAACCGTATTCATGATAAGGTATGTAGATCCTGGTTATTCCCTACAAATCATAATTATACTTTTAAGTGGATCGGATGACCACTTTAAATGGTGGTCCCATCTCTCCACACTTCATCATTACTAACCAATATTGGAGGGACGTAAAAGAACAAATGAGGACGTAAAGAAACCCAGGCAGTGACCACCCTTAGTCTTTACACCTCATAGTAACCAACTCTCATGGCTGTAAGCCCCTTAGAGTACATACATATAGAAAAGTCGGTACCTAAATGATACATCATAGGCATTAGCAAAAACTCATACAGAAGACGATGACTCAAGTGCAATATCAATCGGTTTCAGGTGATCAACGAAATCAATAAGAGCAAAGTAAAGAGCTGGTTGTTTGAGAAAGCCATGATGGCGAAGAAGAAAGATCTTGAAAGGTAAAGGTGGTTCTGTACATTCCCCACGGGTAGTCCTAACTATCGTCCTTTGTTGGTCGATAAAGGACAACCATGACATTAATCACCCTTATGTTTTTTGGGTTCTTTTCAGGATGGTACTCAGAAAGGATACTATATGGGATCTTCTGGTCTTTAAGAAAATCCAGGTGACTAATTAGATGCAATTTACCAATTCTTATAGTGCGGAAATAATATTTATTTTCGTTTATGCACTCAATTGATTGGGACTTTTCCAAGATTTATCACTTGGACCGGGATTTGTCACTAGCATTCGGAAATACAAGTAACATGGGATTTCCCCAAGGTCCATCACTTGGACCGCGCGATTTGTTGACCTGTTTATTTATTTCCTATTCTATTCCTATAATATAATGGTGATATTATTATATAATATTTATTCTCCGTAATCAACACAGGATCTCCTGGGGGGTAGGGTTTGGCTGATCATTTCCGGTTCTGCTCCACTATCTTCCAAGGTCACTACATTCTTGCGATGCGTCATGGGATGTCACGTGAGTAAAGACTGTGAAATATACATCTAGAAACTTTTATTTTGTATCTTTTTTGACGGAGGAAGAAAAGAAAACCAGAGAACCCGAAAAACCCTCGAATCAAAGGAGAGACCTAACAAACTCTACTTACTTGGACGCCGAGTCCAGGAATCAAACCTGAGACCCTTGAGGTGAGAGGCGAATGAGCTACCGCAACAACACCCTTGATTCCGCGCTGTGAAATACCTCTCCGTGGCCGTGCCATGTACCTTTCAGCGATTACTTCTAACCAAATCTACTTTATTCTATATCTGATATGTCAGGTGCAAGAAGGCTATGGTCAGACGGAGGCAACTGCATCATCGGTGCTACAGTTATTGGATGATTTTTCAAGTGGTAGGCCATTCTCCTTGTCCTATTACTTTTACTAAATGACTGAGACAACCTCTTATTGTCATATCGATCTATCTATTCTAGTAACGGATGCATATGTCAAGTTGGCATTTCAGAGGGTTTAAAGCTTCGTATTCAATTTTATCGAACCCTGAAACAACCCCTGGGCTGATCTAAGTCAGGGCACGGCTAACTCACAGATCAAACCCTGAAACAACCTTTGGGCTAATCTAAGTCAGGGCATGGCTAACTCACTCATTGAATTCGAATTTAGCTTGTTATTTGACGTTGTGGATGGAACTAGAAATTCCGGAGAAACTAGAAAAAATCCCTAGAATCAAGGGAGAGAGCCGGTGTGAGAGGTGTGAGAGGCGAGTGCACTAACGTAACGACCTATGTATACCATCCCTGATTCTCTATTGTTTGATGTAATCTCTATATATGTCTATTACAGGTCATGTTGGTGCTCCAAACCCAGTGAACCATGTCAAGTTGATTGACGTACCAGAAATGGATTACTATGCTAAGGACAATCAGGGGGAGGTAAGCCATCATTACCTTGAGCCTCTTGGGTTTAGTCAGGTGATGGACTCCACTAACGACGGCTGCGGGTGAGACTAGGAAAATTAAGGGCTAAATTTTAATATTTTTTTCTGCTTCGAAATCTAGATTTGTTTGAAGGGAAGAAACGTATTCAAGGGATACTTGAATAATCCTGAGAAAACCGCTGAAGTACTTGATGAAGATGGCTGGCTCAAGACAGGTGACATTGGGGAATGGACTGAGGTTAGATAAACTATTGTTTGGTCCAATCCTGACTTTATTTTATATTCCTATAACCTTATTTGGTATATCTCTGGTCCATGACCTCATTTTATATCCTCCAATCGCCGTATTTTGTATTTTAATTACTTTATTTGATATCCTTCAATGATATTATTTGGTATCCTTCGATGACCTTATTTGGTATCCTTCGATGACCTTATTTGGTATCCTTCAATGACATTATTTGGTATCCTTCAATGACATTATTTGGTATCCTTCGATGACCTTATTTGGTATCCTTCGATGACCTTATTTGGTATCCTTCAATGACATTTGGTATCCTTCAATGACATTATTTGGTAACCTTCAATGACCTTATTGAAGTCTATATTTTTTTAATGACCTCGTTTGGTATAGGTGGATGACCTTATTTGGTATACCCCTATAAATTCAATTGGAATTAAACCCATTGCCTTATTAGGTAGTAGTCGCCATCCTTATTTCGTATTGTTGAATAACCATATTTGGTATTAAGAAATTATTATTCCTCCTTTTGATTTTCCAGAGTGGTACTTTAAAAATCATCGACCGAAAGAAAAACATTCTCAAGCTGTCCCAGGTTTGAATTTATAATTACCTTCACGTGCTATGATAAAAACTGATTTGTAGGAGGGGGTGGAGGTGGGGGAATTGAAGATATGTGGGTTGGGCACCGTCATTTTTTGGGAAATGGAAGGGGTCTCTAAAATTTTGCCATTCATACCAGGGGGAGTGGGGTCTCTTAATTTCAATTTGAAAAAGCTCATGAATTGTTTGGGGGGGCTTAAAAATTAAGTTAAGTCCACAGGTAGGGGGGACCGTGAAAAATAAGGTTTTTAAGGAGAAATCTTCATCCCCCCTCGGCATATTAGATGAACTTCTCCTTAGTAACATACAGAGGCTTTGACCATTACGCTGGCATTTGATAGCAACCATTTCAGGAGGCACGACAATAGAATCTTGTCCCCTGGGAAAATTCTTTTTCATGTAAATAATTATAATAATTTAATACTTATATGGCGCAAATTCGCATGTGAATATGAACAAATGTGCAAATCAAGCCAGATTAAATTGTTTCTACCTCGCAGGCCTGTCGTTGGCTGCTGTCACGTAACAGTGCTAAGCCTCTCTATATGCAATTTCTGTTAGACCATGAATATGACACTGATAGTATTGTGCATGCAGCATTGGTGATAACATTTATTACTCTGTGAACTAAGCTCCTCTCCTCTCCTCAATCCCCTTTCCTCCCCCTCTCCCCAATCTCCGGAGAGAGAGCCTAGTTCAAAGGCTACCATTCATACATTGAAAATCTCAGACGATGTCGTTCCCAGAGTTATTTCTTACTGCGCATGCTCAACGAAATAAGGGCTCTGTGAACGAGATTAAAATCTTAGACATTCTTATGCACACTAGCGAGCATGCGCAGAATGTTGTTCCTTAATTTAATGTAAGGATACTATCTGAAGGCCTTAACGTATAACTAAACCTCCTTTGCTTGACAGGGTGAATATATCGCACCAGTTAAAATAGAAAACATCTACATGAGGAGCCCATTCCTGGCACAAGTCTTCGTCCATGGAGATTCATTACGGGTGAGAAACAAAGTCCAGCAAATTTGACCACTTTTCCTGGCAAAGGGGGAGGAAGTGACTACCGAGGGGTACTGGTTCCCAGCCAAACAAATGACGTCATAAAATTTTCAACTAATTTGTGCAAATGAAATTTGATAAAGGGACTGCGTCTTAGTACATTTTAATTGCTTCATCATTCATGATATAACAAGGTAGTTCATTGAATAATATCTAAATTAATATGAATCGTTATAGTCCTATTTAGTGGCTATAGGTGTACCTGATGAAGAGGTGCTAGAAGCTTGGGCTCGAAAGCAAGGCATCATGGGAAGGTTTAGGGAACTTTGTAAAAATAAGGTGAGAATTCAGCCGTCACGTGATATGTAGAGAGATAGGTCACATACTCGGATAACAACAGTGCATTTCACATGTTTCAAACGAGTGTCAGGATGGCCGAGTGGTCTAAGGCGCCAGACTCAAGGTTATTCCTTCCCAAGTTGCTTGGGAGCGGGCGTTCTGGTCTCCAAATGAAGGCGTGGGTTCGAATCCCACTTCTGACACATATTTTTTACCATACTTTACCAAAAAAAAACTATTTTTACAATATTTTTATTAGTAATAAAAACGGGGAATGGCGAAGCTACACATACGCAAAACAAAACAACAAAAATGAAACTGCATATATTTCGTAACCTTGTTGAAA